TATTATTATTATTATTATTATTATTATTATTATTATTATTATTATTATTATTATTATTATTATTATTATTATTATTATTATTATTATTATTATTATTATTATTATTATTATTATTATTATTATTATTATTATTATTATTATTATTATTATTATTGTTATTATTATTATTATTATTATTATTCCTTTTTTTTACTATCATTATTAGTTATTGCTCTTGTTTAAACCATTAATGAAAGGGCAGTTTTAGTTTTAAACTTACCTGTTTATATTATCATTTTAAAATTAACAATTCAAATCATGTCCAAATAATTTTATGTTTTTAATTTATGGGAAAAAAAACGCAAAGTTATGAATTAATTTTAGTGCCATTAAAATTTAATAATAAATCCTCAATGATTCAAATCCATTTCGAATCCATTCAAATTGCAATATATGTTTGGGAAAGCCAAAATATTTTTATAATATAAATTATGAAAAGCCAAAATATTCTTATAATATAAAATATATTTCGGTTTTCCTGACATAATCCAATCAGCCGGAAGGCAATCAACGATCCTGAAGATTATACAGTTCAATGGAAAAAATTAAAATATATTTTATATTATAAAAATATTTCAAACTTTTTCAACAATACAATACTTTCAGATTGTATTATGCAAATAATATTGTCTATTGAAAAAATAATTTCAAATTCAATTCCATTTTATTTTTCCATCTCATTTTTTTTCCCTCCCATATAAAAAATTTACAAATTTTTGAAATAAAAAATATTTCTATAAAATAAATTTTTTTTGTTCCATATAAAATAAAAAATTTTTCTGATAAATTTTTTCTGTTTCATACAAAAAAATTCACCAAAATTTTTTTGTTCGTAGTATTTTTTTGAAATTTTAAATAAATTTTATTGAATTTGCAGTTTTTTCTCATCAATTTTAATGCACAAAGAAAATAGTAATTTCAATAATTTTTTTTTGCCATGCCTTAAATTTAAAAGAAAAAAGAATTCTCTTTGAAAATTTCAAGCAACAATACATTCGAAATGCAGTTAATTTTAAATATTTTAAAATTAATCTTATTAAAATTTTTTTTTTCAAAACTCTTTTTTCGCATTTTTTTTTTCTTCAACAAATTCTTTCATTTTGAACTAAAAAATGCTTTTGGAAATTATTTATAAAAAAAAAAATGGAGGAGAAATTAAAGAGTTACTTTCAATGCAATTTATTTAGACGGAATTTGTAAATTTTTAGCAAAAAAAAAGAAAAAGAGAAGAAAAGGATAAATATTTTCCGTTGAAATTCTAACAAAAAAAAAAAAAAGAATAAAGGAAAGAAAAATGTTTTCCGGTAAAATTCTAACAAAAAAAGGAAAATTTACAGGAAAGATGTTTTCCGGTAAAATTCCAACAAAAAAAAAGGAAAATTAAAAGAGAAAACTTTTCCGATAAAATTCTAACAGAAAAGGAAAAAGATAAAAAAAATTTTCCGGTAAAAAAAAATGGTTTTCTTTGGCAAATTTTTATGCATATTTAATTTGTCTCCTTTAAAGTTCTTTTTTTTCCCCGTTATTTTCAGTTATTACTAAATCAATTATTCGTTTTCAATCCTATCTTCGAAAAACTAATTCTCTTTTTTTTCTTTATTTTTTTGATGTCAAAATAAGATAATGAAAAGTGCATGCGATTTTTATTCGTCTTATTTAAATTTTAAAATTCGAATTTTAATTACTTCATGTTTCTTTCCTCAGTTGAAATAGAATGAGGAAATTGCGGATAATTTAGGAATGATAGGTTAATTAGTAATTAGTAATTAGCTGATTAGTATTTTTGCGCATTTTTTAATTTACTACAGTAATAAAAATTACTTATTATAATCAGTATTACTTATCAATCAATATACCTTAGAGTAATTATATCGCTTTTTCATTTACCATCACCAACCAATTTTGATCAGTTATAAAATAATCACCTTTAATTTTTGTTTATTCTAATCCAAAATTTTGTAGCTTCAGAAAGAAACAATGAAATAAAATAAAGTAAAATTACCAAATTATGATACTTCATAAAAATTATTGATTAATTTTCGATTAAGTAATTTTAATTAATTTTCAGTAATATTGATGGATGATGTTTTTATTTATTTTTTTTTCTTTTGGTGTAAAAATGAGTATAATCAAATGTTGATCAAATTTAAAACAAGAAGATATAATCGTACTAATTTTATGTTTGTTAAAATCTGCACCAAAAATTGAATTAAATATTTTGAAAATAAACCTAACGTTGACATAAATATTTTTTCAGAGTAAAAAAAAAAAATGATATGACAAATTTTCAAGGTAAAAGACGTGTGCTATACATTCATTACTTTTATTAAATTCGAATGATTTCAGATTATTTACTTTAAAATGAAAAATGATAGCTTGCTTATATTTATGTTTAAATTATTTCTCATCTTTTAAATATCTAATATCACAATGATAATTTAAATGTTTATTAAATTTTCAATAATTTATTGAACTTAATTTATTCCTTCTTTTTTTTATCAAACAAATAAAATAATTTATTCAAATAATTTATTTTTTTGATTTGTTTTCATTTTTTATTTTATTTCTGTCATCTTTATTATATTATTTTTGCCATTTTAATTACTTTTAATTTATTTTTATTTTTATTAAGCAAATAATTGAAAATGATTTATTAAATTTACAAATATATTTGATGAAAATTAATTCAAAAGGTTATGCAAATATTTGCATATGATTAATTTATATATTTTGCAGAGAATGTCTAAATAAATACTGCATCACTTTTCCGGATAATAATATAACGGAATTTTCGAATATTTTCCGGACAATAATATAACTGAATTTTGGGATGTTTTCCGATAACAATATAACTGAATTTTTGAAAAAATTAAGTACCAGCATGTAACAGATTATTGGAAACAATAGTATAACATTCATGTTAGCATATGAAAAATTATGATAATTTCTAAATTTTCCATAGCTAAAATTATTAGTCGATGATTTTTATTTCTAATCATTTTGAATTAATTTTAGGAAAATTTAATTAAATTGACTTAAATAGGAGTTTCTGTAATTTTAGAAATATACATATATCATTGAAATGGAATCAAATATGAAATTTCACTCTTTCACTCTAAACAATAAACACCAATTTTGAATTAAGATAAATGATATTACCATCTTGTTTAATGATTTAGTGGGATTGCCAATACCGCCAAACTTTCCACCATTCCTAATTATTTGATGATCAATGAAACTACTAATACCGCCAAACTTCACTTTACCCTAATTGTTCGGCAATGAGTGATCAAAAAAAAAGAAAAAAAAAGCAATTAGTAAAAGTATATTCTGTAAGTTAGACTATAATACCTAGAATTAAAATATTAAACGGTCATAAACATAGAAGTTTTATGTCAATTAAATAAGGATAATGTCAAGTAATAAGATGAAAGTAAGAATTTTATAGTTTACAATATTGAAAACATATATGATATGCTTATATTGTTAAAATTTATGAATTCTGATAAAATATTTAAAAAATTTTTCAAATGTTATAATCATATAATTTTGTTCTTCTTT